GGGTGTAAAGGAAACATGATTGCCTATTTATATAATTGATGTGTATAATAAAAATATAAACTACACAACATGCAGATGTGCTCGAAAAGTTAGCGAAAAACAATTATTACAAATCAATACGAACTCTCATCCACTTGCAACTTACATTTTATTATACTAAAATTTAGCGATTTATAAAAATGCATACCAAAGATTTTTCTAAAAACCAAAAAAAAAAAATATTTTCCTTGTGATTTTTTTTTTCGTTTTGGGGGAACCTTACAATTGTTTTCAACTAGTTTTTATTATCGATTTTCTTCTAAACTACAACTCTTTCCGCACTTTGCACTAAAACACTAAATAGAAACATATACAAGTTCAAAAATCGGGCTCAAATGGATTCCTGCTAATTTTATAAGCTTTCATAAAAAAAAAAATTCAAATTGTTTGAAAAATTAAGGCGCCAGTGATTTATGAAGATTAAATTCCAGTTTTGCATTGTAGTTATTGCAGAGATTAAAAATAATTTATCTCATATTGAGAGTAAGGAATATTTAAAAAAATATTTGTAAAAATATTATATAAACGCATTACTTTTAATAAGAGTTATGACAACTACATCGTTGCACTTACACCACTGAAAATATCTACTTTTAAATTCTGTCCAGTCACATCAGTGGATGTCGCATATATTGACAATGGAATAATAAACCGTTTCTTCTATTACTGAGCACATTTTGAGATCAAATCGCACCTGTCTAGTTCGATACACCTTTTTCGCCGTTGCTAAGTACCGTAAAGTATCCTTTTGCCACAGGGAATGAACTGGGTGTCCTATTAGTTTTTATTACGGCTCAATTTTTCTTTTCTCAGTTGCGTTGTGTGACTGTCATATCTACATATATTTAGTACATATGTATGAATATTTATGTATGCGTATTGGCAAAAATATTCTCTGTGAAATAATGGCGGTAGTTTTTGTATACAAAACTAAACCACAAAAGGAAAATGAAAAAAGATCGAATGGAAAAAAGTGAGTATATCTGAGCTCACAGCAAATGAAACTTTTTATCCGACTTCTGTTGCGTTGCCACCACTAGGGTACTCGTATCACCTAGCTTGTAGAGAATACCAAAATAATGACGCTATTGTTGCTAACGGATTGCTGTTAGACAGTTTGAAGTGCGGTACCGTGTCGAGTGGCAGAGAGTGTCGCATAAATTAAAACACCTATTGCAGAAGTTTGCGAGTGGGATTATATGAATACATTTACGTTTGAGAATCAACAGGCACAGTTAAGTGGTTCGCTAAAATGAAACTATAAATCGAAGCTGCGAAAGAACTGGGGAATCTAAAATATTTAGGCCAAATTACTGACTCGAAGTCAAATCTCTGTTTACTTAAATTTGCAAACGTAGTTCTTTCCTTAAAGATCCTGCTATAATGTAGCAGATTCACGTACTCTAACAGAAAATCTTTTACATGAACGTTTACTTTTATCTGTCTCTGTTTTATCATCGGTGGCCCTAGCATGCTGCCAGATTCTCTGAAATTGTAGACACAAGATTTTCAATGGGCTCGTGCGAGTTTTAACTTTTACCCCATTTTCGCTCATTTACTTGCATCTACTACGGTGACATGGTTCTTTTTTACGCTATGTTGCTCGATTATGTCTATTGTCTTCTTTTCCTTCTTTTGTATGCATAATTTTTCCATTCACGTGTTTCAACATGAATGTTAACAAAAATGCCTTTGGTATTGACGCTCACACTGTTGAAAGGCTTTGCGCACACAAATATCTATATATGTGCATATTTATATGGGGTGTTCCATACCAAAACGGACGAGGTTCACACTTCATGTGTTTGATTTGTTTAAAATTTTTAGCGTTGCTGCATAAACATAAATAATAAATAAATATGAAATTTTAGCTCGATTAATACATTTTTAAAAACTTTACAGCACAAAAACAAAAAAAAAATAGGTTTAATAGTTTTCCCATTATCTCGAGAATGGGGCAAGAAAAAAATTTGAAAAAAAACACACATACACATATCAAAATTCTCTATGAAAATAAATATTTAAAAAAAAATTTTTTCGTGAAAAATTTTTCACATACAAATTTTTTGATATAAAAATTTTAAGTTTTTGAAGATATGCCATCTCAAAAAAAAAATTTTAAAACATCGCAATGGTTGCTCTGAGTATTGCGCAATATTTAAGTATAGTATTATGGGGTGCACTCTACAATAATTTGAGTTATGCATTTTTTTTACACCGAATTTGAGTAAAATATGTACGTTACGAATTTACAAATTTTTTTAGAATTTTTCTTGAGTATGCAGTTTTGTAGCCCATTAAATTTAGTATAATAAGGTTTAAGTTTTAAGCGATTGCAAAAATTACGTTATTTTTTTTTTTTTAATTTCCTTGAAAACGGTTTTGAGCATTTTCTTCAAATTTCATATTTTATTATTTTTTATGTTTATGCATCAACCCTAAAAATTTGAAACAAATCAAACACATGAAGTGTGAACCCCGTCCGTTTTGGTATGGAGCGCCCCATACTTATACAGTTTACCTTCGCAATTGTACAATGAAACTATACACACGAATTTCCTCATTTAATTTTACCTGCTCACAGTTTTTCAGTTTTGTTATATATTATATTTTTTTGTGACTGTTTCTTCGTTTTACGTATGCTACCACTTTTTCCTGAGCTATTTTCCTTGTTATGTTATTATTGCGTTATCTAAGTACTAGAGAATATGTAAGTCTTGTATACATATAGCCATACTTAAATTTCTGGATGCTTTGACACAAAATGTTGTCACAATTATTATTCTTAGTTTGCGCATTTGTAAAAGTAATTCTACTTCTAAAGAGTAGTCTAAATGCAGCATTGATTAGTTTTTGAGTTGTCTTAACGGTAAAATTCTTTTTCTTCTTATTTGGGCGTGATTTGCTCTTTATCCAATTTAGAAAAGGCAGAACAGACTTCACGGTTTTTGCTACCGATAATGTCGATGTCATCGGTATACGCCAGAAAATGCACGCACTTGTAAAATATTATTCATGAGCGGCTCAGCTCAGCGCTCAGCAGCTCTTATTATCTTCTCCAACATCAGATAAAATAATTCAAACGAAGGGAGTCCATATTGTCTGAAACCTCGTTTGGTAACATACAGCTCGGAGAGGTCAATCCCAATTCTGACGGAGCTGGTGGTATTGCTCAACGTCATTTTACACAGCCGTATTAGTTTCGGGGGAATGCCAAATTCAGGCATCGGGACGTATAAGCAACTTCTTTTAGTGCTGTCGAAAGCGTCTTTAAAGTCGACAAATAGGTGGTTTCTCGCGAGTCTTTTCCAAGATTTGGCGCATTGCGGGATCTACGCTCGATAAGACCTCGTAACATATGTATGCTTAGAAGGCTGATCCCATGGTAGATGGCGCGAATTGCGGTGGCACTTTCTTGGAACATCGACTCCGCTATCATCAACGGAAGCTCGGGTTCGCCTTGTCCACTACTTTTAGTGGTGCTGCCATTCAACAGTGTACGTTTAAAACACTGGAAGAATGCCTTACGTCTATCACAACATGATAGATTTGTTTTCTCGTTTTTCGATATTCTTGAACCTGGTACTACATAATACCATATTTCGGAACCCGGCTAAGTCGTTCCGGACGGTGCGTCGTAGAGGCAGCATATTCCGACCATGGTTCCAAAGATCCCTTCCTTGCCCAACCTGGCACTGAAGTCTCCAAGCACGATTTTAATATCATGGTCGGGGCAGCGCTCGTTTTTGAAGCTCCAGACGCTCATAGAAGGTATATTTAGATACTTTTAAACCGAACACACGTTAGTATGGTGAGCCGCTTGTTCCAAGATAGACGCCAGCTTGCAGTCGCACCTACTGGTGAACAGACGCTGCCTACTTCAGTGAGCCTTTAAACCGAATATTACGGAGTGGCCCACGGCTTCACTCGGATCGGTTACCGCATCTCGTACACATCTCAACCCTGCAGCCGGTTTCTAGCATTCGCTATCGCAAATTTTGATCGCTAAAAATTTCCAAAAGAATAGCAGGCGCGCTTAACAACATGCAGCACCTAGTTATATGCTCCTCATACTACCAGTTTTGGTTGATAACACATTATATCTGTTACTTTTATGTTGCGTGCCTTTAGGCCCCATTGATATTCATTTAGAATTCCACTGATGATGTCTCCGAATGAAGCTTTAATGCATAATAGTGTTGGAAAATCACATCCATTGGGCCAAGCGTATTCTCAATGGTTCAACAGGTCGATTTAGTCTGACATTCACGGCACCTTTTCTTACTTGCTCTTTTTTGCAATTGGACTGCCTTTACCGTCGCCACATCGGATCATTAAAAAAAGATTTTTAGTAATATCTCAACTTCAGCGCCAAATGGTGGGTTAAATTGTAAAACTATACTATCCAGAGACCCACTCAAATACACACAGAAAACTCTCCAGCCATTTAGGATGTCACGCACAAACATACCTACAGAAGCATTATATACACATTCGAAGATAAGTAAAAGTAAGTACGTTTGTACTTTGCCACGCCCTCTTTTCAAAGAGCCCATTTTTCTCCATGAGTATTAGATTGATTTCATATATCTCCATACGAAGTTCCCGTACTGTACCATGTACACTTCCAGAGATATGCACTATAAAATTCGGCTTGTATGGTAGGTGCCACACCCCCTTTGACAATAGCTACTTTTTTTCCCCATGACTATGCGATTAATTTCATATATCTCCACACCAAGTTCCAGTACTCTACCAAGAACAATTCTAGAGATATGGAGTAAGAAAAATTCGACTTGTATGGGTGGTGCCACGCCCGTGTAAAGTTCCAGTGCTCTACCACGAACATTTGCAGAGATATACAGTATGAAAAATTCGGTTTGTATATGAGGTGCCACGCCTCTTTTCCAATAACTCCAATTTTGCATACCAAGTTCAAAAATTTTACCATGAACGCTTCCAGAAATATGCAGTATGAAATATTCGAGTTGTATGGGAACGCCCTCTTTTCAATAGGTCCAATTTTTCTGGAAGCGTATGCGAATGATTTTATATATCCACACTAAGTTCCAGTACTTTACCATGAACATTTCGAGAGATATGCAATATGAAAAATTCGGTTTGTATGGCAGGTGCCACGCCCCCTTTTCCAATAGCTCAAATTTTCCTCCAAGAGGATGCGATGGATTTCATATATCTCCATACCAAGTTCCAGACCTTTACCATGATTGTTTCCAAAGATATGGAGTATAAAAAAATCGGTTTGTATGGGAAGTTCCACGCCCCTTTTATATATCGAGATTTTGGTTAGCCTATAACCATCCTTTCAGCGTCTGCAGCAAGAGTCCAAAATTTCGAAAAAGTCGGCCGTTCTCGAGCTTCGCGATACACATAGAATCTATGTCATAGATGGATAAGAGTTGCTGCTTTTAATATTGCGCTCACTTGGTACGTACAAAAAACATAGCGGCGGGGGTTTTACATATTTTTACATATTTTTTTTTAACATAAGAATCAACATTAACGTTAACATTAGCACGTGTGTATATGTTATACATAACCCTTATTTAGCGCTGTATTCCGTACAAATTACCAGCAGAGGCCGCTTTTATTTGTCATTTACAGATGAGCAGCGCTGTTATATGGGCATGTATGTTAGATTCTATACTTTTTTTAGCCTACGACAAGCCCATCCAGAACCTATAACCAAAATTTCAAAAAAAACGGAACAGCCGATCTCGAGCTTTGCGAACAGAAAAAAATGGCTTTCAAAATATATATTAGTATAGATAACTAGTGAGCATATATAACAACAAACAATTTACTGTAAAAAAATGTCGTACTTACTTGTCATATAGAAGAAGAGCGTCAGTAAGGCAATCATCTTGATGCGAGTTTTGTGAATTGAATTACTCCTTTCAGCAAAAACGGCGACAATAATGTCAGGTTCGTACAGTTGAAAAAATAATAAAGCAGCGCACTATCATATGCAGTGAAATCACAGTAGTAACGGGTTAATTGCCTGCGACAATTTGTAGTGGCGAGCGATATGCTTTTCGCTGATGCAAAACATAGGTTGCCGCTGCTTGTATGGGTATTCCTAAAAGAATATATGTAGCTATCGAAGCAGCGTAGTCCAAGCCAGCTTAGCACACAAAAATATGACTAAATTCACTTTGCACGCGCGCACACGCACCCACAATTTTACCCGAAATTCGCTTTATATAACCGACGAAACGCGGACAATTGGACTGTGTCAAGCGAAAATATGTATGTGTGTATGTAGTATATATGCTTAGTTATTTGTGTAGTCCAACGCTTTTTCTGTTTTGAATTTCAAAAAAATTTACGATTTACTTTATTTGCGTTTTTTGCGTTTATCTTTGTAAGCTTAGCCTTACCAGTATTGCGTTTACGTGTATTTATTCCGTAGTAATATTTCATTTTTTCTATGTTTACAAGCTTTATTTAGTTATCACCACGTTAGCTACCGGTTTTCGGCTTAGAGTTTGCGCGAGGCATACATTTGTGTTTGTATGCTTCCGCACACTTTTTATTCACTTCCAGATTTTTATCTTGCTGTCAGTTAGCCTGATTGCTTATTTGAACAGCGTCGACGATGGCAGCAAAACAGCCGGTGGTACTAACGGGTGATTTTTTTGAGGTTAGGATTTTCATGCATTAGTATTTGACAGATTACGTGGGATTTCAGACATGGTGTCAAAGAGAAAGATGCTCAGTATGCTTTGACATTTCATCATGAATAGACTTACTAACGAGCAACGCTTGCAAATCATTGAATTTTATTACCAAAATCAGTGTTCGGTTCGAAATGTGTTTCGCAAACCCAATTGCTGCGAACGGCGACGAATCGACATTTCACGGTCTTCAGCAACACTCTCAGAAACAGACGCAATATTCTCTTCTGTACGCACTGTACGCATTCGTGT